CAGCGCATCGGCTCGTCCTCAAGCGCTCGGACCCCACCCGAGCTAAGCCCCACTGGCAGGCGACCCTTGGCAAGGACCGCCTTGGCACACGCGATGGGGCACTCCAAACGCATCGTGCCCATACCCCCGCGGCCTGGTCTTATGGCGCGGCTCTTGATCGATTCGACGGCGCAGCCCCCCGCCGCCGCAACCGCGGCTACCACCTCTTCTTGGGTGACTGTGTCGTCGAGATCAGTCACCTCAAGAGCCACACATTTCACCGGCCTCACAATCTTGGCCGTGTCTGCGACAGCCTCCCTGAGCTTCGCCGCAAAGAGTTCCGCCTTGGTTCCACCTTGAGCCCCGGAGAACTCGAAGATACGAGCCCCCGTTTGGGTCTTCCGGCACGTGACCCTACCCGCCCCGAGTTGTGCGGGGTCTACGTTGGCACGAGCCCGCCGCAACACGGACTCGTACGTCTCCCCTCGCTCTGCTGCCTTTGGGGTCAACGTGACCACTACGGCTGCACTTTTCGGAGGAAGAGGGAGTTTCTTCCTCTTCTCCACTGCGGCTGCAGGCTTGGCTGCAGGGCGCTTGGGGGCCACTTTCTTCTTCCCCTTCCGCTTCCTCGGCACCACCTTTGTCCAAGGCTGGTTGGATGGGGTGGTGGAGGGCAGGAGTGAGTCCTCCCTCGGAAGGTCCTGAGGGACCGTCTGGGCAGTCGGGGTGGCCGGGGTGGTCTTCTTCCCCTTACCCTTTCCCTTGCCCTTGGGCTGCCGCTGGGCTGGGGCCGTTGAAGGACCCGGTGCGCTAGGGGTCCTCTCGGGTGCCCTATCGGCCGCGAGTGGAGGACGAAGCCGCTTCTCTGGCAGAAGCCGGTCCTCGATGCCCGCGAAGCAGGCCCTGGTGAAGGCCCTCTCCTCCATTACGACCTTGCGGATTATATCCTCAAGGTTCGAGGGGGCGAGCATTGACGCTGGACCTTCCGATGTCCCCTCAGGCCGGGCCATGAGTTCGGCAACGCGCGCGTGCAGCGCCGACACCTCTTTTTGCAGGCGATCCACCTTCGCCTGCAGTTGCCGCGTTTCGTCGGAGGTGGTGCGCTGCGCCAACTCCTTTACGATGCCGAGCAAGCTCGCTGCCCGGCATTTCAGGGCCTTCTGAAAGGTCCCTTTCAGATTGGAGGACTTGGAAGTCACCTCCAAGATCTCAAGTTGATCCTCCAAAGCCATGCGCTCCATTTCCTCTACGGAGTGGTCCGCGTAGAGGACGCTGGAGGCGCCGTAGCCAGCCTTGGCTCTGGTGGTTCGGGTCCGCTGCTCTTTGGCGGCGATCCTCTCCTCCAAGTCCGCCTGAATAACCGCCCGCTTTGGAGGCTTCTCCGCTTGGTCTGGAGAGCCTCTGGAGTCCTGCCTCAGGAACGCCCTCTTCCTCGACTGGCGAGTCGAACCACAGTTCGACTCGCCAGTCGAGGAAGTCATCAACCAAAGTCGACACATGAAATCCCCCCCCCCTCGCCCTCAGGGTTACTTCACCCCCTCAGGCGATATCTCTGGATCCAGAAGTGATAGACCCACTGAGTTGTGGCTCATTATAATCAGCACCCAAAATCCAGAAGATTGGCCCCAACGGAATTTCCTAAATCCATCACTGTAACGGCAGAGCGAGGAGATAAGCACAATAAAAACAGCAGCGGCATTGGGTATCAGTACGATCTCACTGGGCACTACCATCGAGCTCACGGGACCCAAAACACCGGGCCCCATCATCGTCGGACTCCTCACGCGACAGCGGCGCAGCACATCAGCGGAAGCATCTGTGGGTCCACCGCAGATATCTTAGTAAATAAGTTAGATAAGTTAAAAAAAATAAAAACATTAGACAACTTTGTATCATTAACTATTTCTTTATATTAGTAGCAGTATTCTTTAGTCTTTAGTAGTACTTTAAACTGTTAACCTCCTCTCCTACCATGTCTTCCAGAACAACACACTCCCGCAAAACGACCAAGGACGTGGCGCTGAAGAATACAAAGTCCCTCAGGGAAAAACTTCTGAAGAACAGTGCCAAGTCAGTGGTGTCCGACAAGTTGGCGTGTTCACCAGAGCCACCGCAAGCAGCACTGAAAGCGACATCGGAGCCAGACGTCACGGCCGTGTCTGACACATACACCGGAACCCACGCCATTCCACCTAAATCGCCGTCGGTACCTGTGACCCACACCATGGAGCGTGCCAGGGTCTTGGAGACCGTCATTCAGTGGGAGCAGTGTGGAATCTCCCCCTCGCAACATAATCTCAGACGAGGAAAGCTCTCTGGCATCCTCCGCAGGTCAAGTAGTAGGACGCCCCGAGAGGAAAAGCATTCTTTACCGCACACCAAAGAGAGGAACGGGGGTGGAGATGGACATGGCTACAAGTGAGGCAAACACCCTCCTCCAGAAAGGAAAGAACGCCCTGGAAGCAGCGAGCAATATGAAGAGGGAGTGTAAGGTCATAGCACATGAATGCCTGCAGGGCCTCTATGAAACGGCCTTATCTCTGGCGGACTCCCGAGTCCGTCACAAATATAACCTCGAGAAGGAGCGCTCTCGACACGCACGGGAGCTACTGAGTATCGAGAGAGCTCACACCCGAGAACTGCTGGCTCTGAGGACCGATCTGTCGTCGTTGGCGACAAACGTCACAGAGACGAAAAAAGAAGCAAAAGGCATTAGAGAATGGCTAGGCCACGAGACACTTGAGGCCTTAAACGGCATCAAGGAAGTGAAGGACGAGATCAAGGCGGCAAATGTCAGGGCCATAAGGGAGTATGAAAACGCCAGGCGGGACAAAGAACAAGCACCGGGTGATCCCAAGCGAGATGCCAAGGGAGATGGTCTGTCCCGCCTGGAAACAACAATAGCCGTATAGCAACAATCTCCAACCAGCTGGACATACTCCGCAAAGCCTTCGACAGGGCGAAAGTAGACCTCGTACAGCCCAAACTAACACCTGCCAGCCAAATCTCTGAGACGGAGCTATTGACGACGGAGAGGTTCAACGAGGAGATGGAGAAGCTGCAGGCCCTGGTTCAGCAATTAATAGACAGGCCTCACATCCCCCACCACCACCACCACCACCACCACCACCACCACCACCACCACCACCACCACCACCACCAACACCACCACAACCAAACCTCACAACAATACTAAAGCCGATAACGGAGAGGCTAGAAATCGTGTCGGCTGACATACGGGTTCTGCGGGACAAAGAACCCCCAATCCAAACACCGATGCAAAATTTGGTACAGGAGTACTCGCGGTACAGGAGGTCAAAAAGTCCCTCTTTAACATCGAGAAAGGAGTAGTAGACCTGGGCAAAGTAGAAAGACCAAGTCCACAACAACAGGGCCCTAAGACCTTCGCCCAGGTCGCCAGTACACCTAAAATCCCCAAGTCAGCTCAATCAAACCATACCCTAATTGTCTCGTCGACGGACCCCAAGCACACTGGAGACAACGTCATCGAGAGGATCAGGGTTGCCTTTGACCTTGAACAGAAATACGCAGTAGGACAACCACCCGGGGACTGAACCTGGAGTGAGTCAACAATACTAATAATAAGACTGAACTAGAGGGGGTGGTTAAAGATTTTATCAAGTGTGTGAGCGAGGCGTGCGAAGAAACAATTCCGTCTCACAAACCACCCAAACAGAACAAGCGCTTTCCTTAGTGGAACGACGAATTGGAAGGGATGCGTCGCGACGTGAACACAAAACGCCGTAGAATCCGGTGTGCCGCGCCGCGGCGCAGACAGCATGTTGTGGACGACTACCTGGGCGCCAAGGCGGACTACGAGAGGAGGGTTGTCGCTGCCCAAACGCACAGCTGGAAGGAGTTTTGCTCGAATCAGGAGAGGGAATCCATGTGGGATGGGATCTCCCGGGTGCTGAGAAGTACGTCAGGTCGTCACGAGGATCAGCTACTCGTCGAGGATGGAGTTGTGCAGAGCCCGGATCAATCCGTCGCGCTGCCGGCCGGGACGTTCATTGCCGATGACGATAAGGGGGTGGATCATGAGCTCCACACGTTACATCGATGGCATGTTAACTATCCGGCGCATGCTGGTGCCAGAGAGCACTAAACATTGTTGTTTTAAAATCTATTCAGTATTTAGTTCTCAATACAACAAAATTAAAGAAAATGTCATCTTAAGTTTCTGATCAAGTCTAGGGAGCGCCTCGGCACAACAGGAGGGGCTGTAGCCGGTAAATGTCCGGCAGCCTGATCAGGCAAATGTAATTTATGTTTTATTGACTACATACCGCCAACGTGTTGGCGCTCAACATAATTTTATTCTTTTGCATGTGTAAGTTGTGCAACTTATCAATGTAGGTGGTACTACTTACACTCCATATAACTAAATTGTCCGTTCTCGGTTATGGTTGTCAGTGGAATGTTTTTTGGACTTAGATTATGAACCATTACGTTTAAACTCAGTTGTACATTCGATTTGTAACCCTATTTCAACACTAGCTACTCCCACGCGGTTTCACCCGCTGCTCGGCTCCATTTGATCGTAACGTGGTGTTTTATAGCCTATAGCACTCAGGAACATTGTAGCTATCTATCAGTGAAGGAGTTCTGGAAATCCGACCGGCGGTTCCAAAGATTACCCCCTACATACAACCTTATTAATTTTACCTCTTTATAATATGAGTATAGATCTCTTTGGTATAACTGTAACAAAGTTTCTGTTAAGTGACTGATGTCACATGTGTCTTACTGACTCAATCACGAGTCTCACCGGTACTGTAACACAGCCGCGGCAAGATATTGGAGAACAGCATTTATTTATATTCATCACAAATGTCGACACAAGAGTAGGAGAGCGCGCTCTGAACTGCCATCATGGGGATAGTGCACGCGAAGGTACCTAAGGGGATAGGACGGGCTGTTGAAACGTAATAAGGCACCGGAGCCTTCTATTCCTCTATTTCTGTGTCAGTTGTACTCGTGAACCCTTGATGTGTGTGTAGATGGAGCGCAAGTACAGCTTCGCGGAGGACGAGGCGGGGCTGTTCGACTTCGCGGAGCCGGAGGTGGAGGTGGATCCAGTGCCGCGCGCTACCATCGCGCTCAGCGGGATCAACGTGAGCGCCTTCATTGTGAGTGAGTGACACGCGACGGTGCGCACACAGACATACATTGTAGGTGTGTGTACGCAGGCGCGCGTGGACCGCATCAACGTGGACGGGCTGCACCGCACGAAGGATGACGTCATCAAGGGCACCGTCGACGACCTGTTCAAGGCAAAGGACTTCGAGGACGTGATCGTGCGCGCGCACAAGGTAACGACGCACCTAGCGCACGCCACCGCCATCTGTCGGTGAGTGCGTGCGACTGGTGGTGACTGGACGCGGGGCCCCGCAGGTGCGGCACGCACTGGACAACCTGGGCTGCTTCCACAACGTGTGCGTGTACATCGACGTCTCGTCCGGACCTGAAGCCACGCCCGATGGCCTCGAGGTACACAGACAGACACACACATACACACGCATCGCCACGCTATTATTATACCTAGTGAGAGACACATAATCTATACATCTATACTAATATTATAAAGAGGTAAAATTTGCAAGTTTGTATGTAGGGGGTAATCTTTGAAACCCCTGGTCGGATGGACAAAATTCTTTTACTGATAGATAGCTGCAATGTTCCTGAGCGCTATAGGCTATAAAACATCACGCCACGATTAAATGGAGCCGAGCAGCGGGTGAAACCGCGCGAGATTAGCTAGTATATTTTGAAGTTAAAACCGCTCACGCTGTATAATAATGTGTAAAGTAGTTTAGCATCCTGTTAACTTCTGCCAACCTGTCCCGGCTGCGTGGTGCGCAGGTGACGTTCCAGGTGCGGGAACTGTCGCGCGTGTCTGCGGACGTGAGCACCGCCGTCAGCGAGGACGAGGGCAGCGTCGAGCTCGGTAACTATACAGTCGCCACGCTAGCGACACACTCACTCATTGATAACTGTTATACCTGTACATACATGCATACTGAACGATGTTCATTCTTAAATTACCAACTTCAAGACTTGCTTCTAACGATTTACTTATAGACGAAAGACCACTACTGATTCCTCAGTTTAAATTCTCTGAATGAATTTACGGGGCTTAATTCATTAAACCCCAACACCTCTTGTTCTTTTACAGTTGTGTCTCGAGTTGCCACGATTGAAAAGTACTAAATTGATTGAAAAGAATGACTTACACCCGGTTTCCGAAAGACAATGTTAAAATCAATTTAATCTCTTGTCAAGTCATCTGATTGGTTGACTGAATTATCAACAACCAATCAGATGACTTGACAAGACATTTAAAAGGAGATTAGTTAATTTTAGCGTTGACAAGCCTTTCAGAAACCGGGTGTAAGTCGCGTAAGTTGACTGACATGAATAAGAGTTCCGTTGTGACTTGAAACTAGTTCTGTAAGTAGAGCTTTTCTCAGTTCAATTAAAGTGAATAAGTCGATATTTTCAATGAATTGAGTATATCTCACGAGTTCACGACACTAGCTATTCAAAGATTGAAAAGTACTTATTAAAATAGCACGGTAGGAATGATAGGCGCGAAACAACGCTAGCGTGTGTATGTGTAACAGTTCCAGGCTTAATACATAGTATTCCGCGCAGGCGTGAAGCTGCCGAACGTGTTCGGTCGCGGGGAGCGCGCGGCGGCCGGGTACAGCGTCGGCCATCGGCGCTCCAGCGACATGCACCTCGGGTTCACGAAGCCGCTGCTGCAGCGACCGTACCACCCCGTGTCAGTACCAACAGTCTCTGCCTTGTTAAGATGCCATGGAATGTCACCAATGGCACAAAGCCTGGATAATTCTCACAAGTTCACATTAGATTACTGGCGATTAAATAAGCGAGCTGTAGGTTATTCATGTACATTATGGTGACGTCGCCAGGACCCATGCAGGGATCCTCAGATTGAGAGAGCCATGCTTCGGAACGAATGGGTCGGCTCGACTGAAATGATGTGGTATCATTTCACACAGAAAACCGGCGTGAAACCACCACAGCGTTGTGTTTCGCTGTGTGAGTGAGGTTACCGGAGAACCAATCCTTCCCTTCCCCCAATCCCAAAACTCTAATCCCCAAAAGATAGCAACGCACTCGTAACTCTTCCGTTGTTGCGGTTGTCCATGGTTGGCGCTGATTGCTTACCATCAGGTAATCTGTCTGCTCGGTAATTTGCCGTCAAAAAAAAGGGAGTTATAGCTCGTGGCACCGCGGCCAACTTGTCCAATACGTTTCCAAACGTGATATCGCCATGGCGTCTAGTCAGACAGAGTTGTAGCCAGCGGTTGGTGCAGGGTGTCGGGCTCGCTGTACCAGCGCGACACGGAGCAGCCGAGCTCCGGCTACCGGCTGCTGAACCGCGGCCTGCTGCTCGACCTCGCCTTCCAGACCTCGCCCACGGTAAGACTTATATCATAAGTATACTAAAAGTTTAACAATCGGGGCATTGTATTGTAGCAGATATGCAAATGCAATACAATTGTTCTTCAAAGCCTCGAACAAAGGTGCAAAGTCGAGAGCTTTTCAATTTTTTTATCACACATATACATTATATACATTTTGGAAAATGTTCGAGGGAGCTACACGCCTTGATTTCCCCTTGTCCCTTCCACCATCGTAACACCAGACAATCGGCAAAACGTCATCGCTTCATGGTGGATATCTCCTTAGGTCCGAAGCGGTTCGCCTCCAGTTTTATAGTTAAAACCGTTGAGGAGTGGAATTCTTTGCCGGAGTCTGTTTTCCCCCGAAGGGTTTAACCAGGGTTTCTTCAAGGTCCGAGTGAATAGATTGCTTATGACCAGGCATTATAGTGGCCAAAACCTGCCCAATTCGAAATAAAAAAATGCACAGCACGCGCACCTACCTGTACTACTTACAGACTGTGCAAATGTATGTTCCTGTGGCATAAATACTGTATGTGCATTTCTTAATCAATTTTTTGTCTGCAGACGAAGCACCACGTGCAGTGGGAGGGGCTGATGCGGGAGATGTTCGTCACCAACAAAACCAGCTTCAAGATCCGCGAGGGCAGCGGCGAGTTGTTCAACATGATCTATTATATGTCATATATTATCGTCATTTGTCCACCCACACATTCACAGCTCACCTAGCTAGTCCTTTATCATATTTACCAGCATGGACATTCCCAGCGTCTTATAGTGCGGAGTTTGCGGAGTCTCACATAATTATATACATTAATATACAAGTATCATAACTACACATAAATTGATAATTACCATAACAGACTTGCTAAACGAGCCAATCCGCGATTCTGATCCGACAGCAATATCGCTAATCCGACATAGTCTGCTTTAACTTGCTGTCCCTCCACAATGACTCGACAGGGCACCCGCTGTGGGGTTCGAACCTCGGCACATCATGCGGTTACCGTTAGAGGCCACCGCAGGGATTGGCCCGGTTAAGAAGTAGGTAGCCAGGCGTCCTAAAGTATGACGTGACCTATCCAAAGAGGAAAATAAAACACATTAAATGTGGGTCTTCCTGTTTGCCGAAAACTAGTGACCCTCAACTTATCATCTATCTTCAACATCGCTTCCGATTACGATTCACCATCCATCATCTAACATCTAACATTACCATTATTTAAGTGTGGGAGAGTCATGCTTCGGCACGAATGGGTCGGCTCGACCGGAGTGATACCACGGCCGGCGTCACAGAAAACCGGCGTGAAACAACAGCGTTGTGTTTCGCCGTGTGAGTGAGGTTACCGGAGACCCAATCCTTCCCCTCCCCCAATCCCTCCTCAATCCCTAAACCTCCAAATCCCTAATCCCTAAAAGGTCGGCAACGCACTCGTAACTACTCCGTTGCGAGTGTCCTTGGGCGGCGCTGATTGCTTACCATCAAGTAATCCGTCTGCTCGTTTGCCGACCGTTTACATAAAAAAAAACCATTCTTTTACTGAATTAAACATCTTGACGGAGTGTCCTCGCTGCAGGTCCGCAGCTAAAGTCGATGGTCCGCCACATAATCTGCGTGGACCAGCGCGACGAGGCAGTGTTCCCGACGCGCGGCGTGCGCCTGCAGATCAGCAACGAGCTGGCCGGGCTCGGCGGCAGCGTCGCCAGCCTCAAGGCGGAGCTCCATCTACAGCTCAACCACACGCTGTCGGACACACTCGGAGTGGTACGGAAGTAAAAAACTGCTACAATTAGATTGCCAACATGCCACTACGGCATCAGATAAAGAAGACCTACCATCTTGTTTTGTTGATGAGGGGTAATCTTCAAAGAAGGCAACATTTGGGGAAAACAACTTTAGAATATTACCTCACTAGTAAAGGCTGTCACGTCCTCTAAATAGCCCAGTCCCTGGTACCCCACTGTGCAACGCCTATTACATCACGACCCTAGGGAGAGCACGTTAGTCTTGGCACGAGTCTGTGCCACGGTCTTCCCATGGACGTCTAGGGCCACATTGTCCCACCTTTTGACTGGAACTTGAAGAGAACCGAAGTAGAAGAAAGATTTTTCATTTTACACCTTGATAGTCCATCTTTGAGTACAGGTGGTGCAGGCGACGTGCGCGATGGGCCTGCTGCAGGACGTGTACGGCACGGAGCTGGCGGACCACTTCTTCCTCGGCGGACCTTCCTCGCTGCGCGGCTTCCAGCACCGCGGCGTCGGACCGCACTGCGACGGACAGGCGCTCGGCGGACGGGTCAGTCATTCAACATCATCATTTCTTTTACTGCGCCTCCACAACGAAAGAGGCTTTTGTCATATTTGCCTTGGCCATTGCGTTGGAGGTTTAATCAGTTTAGTTTACGTAACTTTGGCAAATGACCAGACGCATCACCAAACAGTATCCAAGAATGGATTGGATGGATTGCAAGATTAGAGTAAGGAGGGTTAGACCTCCGCAACTATTGTATCACCCTGGATTTCTATGAGGACGCTATATTCCGGTCCAGTACCAAAGGAAGAATGGTGATGATGAATGTATTTATCATCACATCACATCATTAGCCTATTGATGCCTACTGCTGAGAAAAGCCTTATTATAAGTCCAGGTTTCCTCACGATATTTTCCTTCACCGTATGTCAGTAGTGTCTAAGCAATCATAGAAAATATATAAACTCGGAAAAGTCACATTGATACCAGTGAGGTTTCGAACCCGCACCCTCATGCAAGAGAAGCGGGCGCCTTGACCTCTGGGTCACCACGACATACATTCCTCTCCGTCGCCAATCGGCAGTAGGGCATAGCGTTGTGTTGGTTCAGTGTGAATGGATGTACAGATGTACTGGGCGGGCGGGCTGCACGTGGTGGCCCCGCTGCCGGTGGCGGGCGCGCGCCGGGGGCTGGCCGCGCTGCTCCGCTCGCATCTGTTCCTCAACGCCGGCTGCCTCGCCTTCCCAGGTCAGAGACTACAATTACGATTAGGTACTTATCACCATACTGCCACTACACCACCACAGACTCACCTGAACCAAACCCAATGACATACATCCAGCTCGGACATCTGATAGTTTGTGACATTAATATTATAAAGAGGAGGTAAAACTTTCAAGTTTGTAATCGTTGGAACCGCTGGTCGGATTTCCAAAACTTACAACTTTGCGCAGCGCAAGAGAATACTCACTTAGTACTGATATCGTAAATCAACAAATGAAAATTATGTTCAACTAGCTTTTGCCCGCGACTTTGTTCGCGTGGAATAGTGACTTCCTGCAGGTTTTTGGTTTAAAAACTGTCCTATGTCCTCATACAAATAGATTCAGTAGCTTAGGCGTGTAGAAAAGACAGACAGACATAGGTACAGAGTTACTTTCGCATTTAAAATATTAGTTTGGATTATTTTATTGTATATTCAATTAGAAATAATTAACGATTTGTGTAAACCTTATTGGTTGCAGAGCGTGGGTCGGGCGGGGCGGCGTGGTGGCGCGGGCTGGGCGCGGCGCGGGGCGCGGCGGGCGCGGGGCTCAGCGTGAAGCTGGGCCGCGCCACGCGCCTCGACCTCAGCTACGTGCTGCCGCTGCGCTGGATGCCCGGCGACAGGACACACGCAGGCCTACAGTTTGGGCTCGGGGCTAACTTACTCTAACTGACAGTGACTCTCTGACACCACCGACGGACCCCTGCTGCAGTGCCTGCGTCCGCGTAGCGCCAACAACACAATGCTCTGACTGTGCTTTTGTGTTTACCGTACTAGCAGACCGCTAGTACGGTAATCCGGTTGTCAAATTCTGCAAATCTATCTATTATATCGCAAAATATGACTTCTAAGAAGTCTTCATGTTTTTAACTACTTACATATAGGTATACTAAAACATATGGTTTAATCATAATTGGAATGATATTTTAATAATTTATTGTATTAAAAAGTCAAGTTAATTATTTTTGTCGTAGGAAACTACCGAATTCCTGTTCCGGTATCTGTTAAGTAAAACGTTACCACACAGTAAGATTTTTATTTATTTATTTATTTAAAAGTTTACAATATAATCTTTACAGGTGTACACCCAATGCGTTTTATATTGTTATACATGTCAAACATTTGAGAATAATGAACAATTAAATCCAACCTAAAATTAAGATCATATAAATTAAACTACATAGTCAAAGAAAATAAAGAAACATGTCCAAGAGAAATTAAAATAGAAAAATATTTATCACTTAAAAATAAACATCTTAGAAATGTCACATAAAAATCTTAGAAATTTAATAAGAAAAGATGTTCTCCTGTGTCGTGGGTGCGTTTACAAACATACAATTTCACATACACATCACACCCAGACACGGAACAACAATTTGTGCACACTTGTACCATGTATGTTGTGGTGAGCTTAAGGGGTGGTACAAGCAAGACGCCAAATCTGAGTGTAACACGGTCGAATAGAGTCGTGCTCCCGTCAAGAGATGGCGCTGCTTATTAACTTAACTGCGTGATTAGTGCTCGATATTATTTGTAATTGTTTTAAATCATATTATAATTTATTGCTTTTACTTCAGCTGTTTTATTCCGATCAAAATATAGCGCTTCACAACACATAGTGCCTGCTATTAAAACTGAACTCATTACAAAGTAGATACAATGGTCAGGAACGAACTTCACTAGTACCTACTATAATACTAATATCATAAATGTCAAAGTTTGTGAGAATCAATGGATGTAGGCAATGATGTATAAAACTATAGATACGTTGTCCGCGCTCTAAAATGACAACATGAAATGAAGGCAATTGACAACATCGCGCTTAGTTACGCACCAACCTGCCGCGCGACGCTACGTTTGTTTTTAATTTATATCGTGTGTGAAACCTGTGCGAAACATAAAGAAAGCATGTCGTCGTGTGTGTTCAGACGATGTACAAATTATACTCCAAAAGTTAAAGACAAAAATGTGTAATTTCATGCGTAAGTTCACCAAACAACCTATTTTTATTTTATTTTTTTCGACGCCGGCGCCCGCCATCTTATGGCGGCCGGCGAATGAAGGTATAGTCACGTGCCATCGGCATAACGGAAGATGTATATTTATCTCCCTCTAGCAAAGTCATTCCACTATACGATGTCATATTTGCTTTCCCTTTCTTTACTCGTAGAAGTAGTTATCTAGTATTTTCGCCGTTTTTAAGCGCCGCGATGTTGGTTCATGACGTGTCTATATATAATACGTCATTGGATGTAGGCACGGAATAGAAAATACAGTGGAAGTGCCCCTCAGACATCGCGCGCTAACCAACATGATGACTAGATATACAACATTTTGGCACATTTGTTGTCAGAATCGTTCGATCCGTTGTCATGATTGGTTGTCATGGTTGTCTCTAAGAAACACGAAATATATTAGAAATTATGCCTTGTTGTGTGGTTTTTAACTGCAAAAAAGTAAGCAGAAAAAAAGATGAGTCTTGTGGTGGTGTATCGTATCATCTTTGAGTATTAACCTTTGTTAATTTAAAATATATTAGATTTTAATGTAAATATCACATTTCATTACTTCAATGCAAACTATAAAGGGCCTTATTTTCATTACAATTAAGTTTAAATCTACTTGTTCGTTATGTGACGTTATATACAATACATTCTAGTAGTTTCGACGCTACTCATTTAGGGATGCGACATATTCGTAAAATAGGTTCATATCGATAATTTTTCATCATCATCGTTCAGAAAATTGATTTTTGACAATTTTTGTGTATAATTCATAAATGTTTAACTAAGATTGCATAGACACATCAACGTTTTAACCACACACAGCGTGCATCCGTCTGTGGCAGGTGCGGGTGGTTAATCACCATTTTTATTTTATAACTAGTTTTCGCCAGCGGCTTCGCCCGCGTGCTGTGTTGATAAAAAGCAGCAAATAGCAAGAGAACAAAATCTAAGTATACATAAAATTTGGTATTTATCGTCTCATTTTTATACATATGTCAATGGGTAAATACCCTATTACTTACTAAGTCTCCGCAGTCCGTCCGTCAATAGATAGAAAGGTACGGATCTAACTAATAGGTAAGAGTTACAAATATTTGATAAAACCTATATTATATTATATTTTATACCGCATCGTGTCGAGCACGGCAACCGCTACACAAAAATAATTCTTATACCATGATTCAGTGTTCACTTGCGACGGCGCTATGTCTTATTATCCGAATTGCTAAGCTATCAGGAGTTACACGTGCTATTGTGAGTTAACCAGAAAAGATAGACATATGCTGTATAACATTTTTTTTTAAATTTTATTTAAAATATTTCCGTCATACATAATTTCTATGTAAGTTTTAAGACTGAAACTTACAAAAGGGAGTAACTTCTCCCGTTTTCCCAACATTTTCCTTCACTGCTCTGCTCCTATTATTTGTAGCGTGATGAAAAGTATCCTATAACCTGCCCAGGAGTATAAAGAATAATTGTACCAAGTTTTGTTAAAATCCGTCGAGTAATTTTTGTTTCTATAAAGAACATTCAGACTGACAGACAGACAGACAGACAAAATTTTTACTGATTGCATTTTTGGCATCAGTATCGATCACTAATCACCCCCTGGTAGTTATTTTGAAAATATATTTAATGTACAGAATTGACCCCTCTACAGATTTATTATAAGTATAAATGTTGTACATGATTTTTCTCAGAGTTCCAAAAAGGAGAGTGACTCTCAATTCGACTGTAACATTTTTTTTTTGTTTTTTTCGTCTCCGTTATTTATGAACCGATTTTAATGATTATATTTTAGGAAAGGAGATAAAACTGGTAGGAGCGCGTAGTGCTTTTATATGTTAAAATCGAAATCTTTGATGAACATGTTGAGAAAAGCTCTACTAGTTTCGAACCACAGAGGGGTTCTTCCTCATGAGCAGCGTGCGGGGACGCGGCGACGTCGCCGCGTCCCCGCATAATTTAGTATGTCTCACGATAGTTATTATAAAAACATCTCCAAAAAACATTAAATCTTCAAAAAACATGTTAATATTTTTCATTTTTTTTATTAGAACCTTTTTCATTACTGATCATTTGTAGGTATATCGTGTCGATAAATTATATTGCTCACACGAATACAAAAACATCGATATATTGGGATACCCTGCCCTATCTGAGTAGCAAAATAGTAAATGTCTATTGGTACAAGTGCATACAAATATGACATCTATTTCAAAGAAGTTAGCGTTTTGAATAGAATGAATTTGTTACAGCGCCATCTAGCGTTGAGTGGCTGAACCCGTTTGTAAATTGTTTTATTTAAGTTTTTTACACGATAGACGCCTTTATTGATTGTGACATGTGAAATGATAACAACTTTCGCTCATTGCTATAAGACTCAATTTTTAACAACATTTAGATGATTTGCTAAAGTTGCGTTTCATCTTTTTACCCAATTACATAGCTGTTTTTTATGTGTGTAATGGACAATTTGATTTGCGAATGTGTGATTTTGGCGACACTGGTTTTCCTTTTGAAAGAGTGTAGGGCACTTCTACTTAATTTTCTGTTCTGTGGATGTAGGTATGTTTGTTATTCTTTCAAACAAAACGTCTGGACGGATTTCGTTGAAATAAAAGGGTATATCATCAAATAACTTCTCCTGGATGTTGCCCCAGGATGGGGCGGGAGCAATGACGTATTTATACATCATTGGGCGGGAGGGTGTGTCAGACTCTTTACTGACTAAAAACGCTCCCGTTCCTTCTCCTGCTCTAGGAGGCCGCGGTACCTTCTTGCGCTTGCCCGTAACCCCGGCTGGGATAGATTATACCTTGAATTGACTAATATACCGCTTTTTATCTACATAGAACGCGGGCGAAAGCTTTCATGAAATATAAAAGTTGGTATGTATAGTTGGATGTTTGTTACTCTCTCACGTAAACACTACTGAACGGATCTGAATGTAATTTGGCACACAGATAGATTATAGTCTGGAATAACATATAGGCTACCTTTTCTAGACAGAAAAGGAACAGGCGAGGAGTAAATAAAACACACGCAGTAAACAATATAAATAACTTTATTAGATAGAACTATAACTATAGTAATGCCGTCCGGCGCCGCCTGCTACCAGATTGGTTTGTTGAAGACGTCCTGGTAATGGAGCTTGGTGTGCAGCATGTCGTCCGGAGACATGTTGGAGATGAACAGAGGGGGGATCAGCGCGCCCGCCACCGACCTGCCAGGAAGAGATGTAATGCAACAACAGTATACATAGATATATACACAAGACGTTCCACTGCCACACGTAGACCTCCAGATTCTTCGGTTGGTGGCCATGATATTACAGGGGACATACGATACACTATTCGCATCGCAAAATGAGTTGGTAAGCGCATTACTCAATAACGGCTGGACCAATTTGGCCAATTCTTTAGTAGGAGAAGGTTCTTATAAAAGAAAATTTTAGGCAAGTATCGAAAAGGGAAATATCGGGGAATAAGACGCTTTCAGTAGGTTTTTCTCTTGTGTCATGGGTGCGTTAACAAACATACAATGTCACAAACACATCACACCCAGATCCGGAACAACAATTTGTGGATCACACAAAGAGTTATTCCGTGCAGGAATCGAGCCCGCGACACGTTGCACGGCAGCCAGTTGCCCAGCCACCGCGCCAACCGTGCAGTGACCAGGTAGTATGCTGCAGCAGTACCTGCCCTCGGAATTGAGGAAGTTGAAGGTGGAGCAAGCATGCTCGGTGGGCAGCACCTCCACGTTGAGGCCGGCGGCGGCCGCCGCGCGACGGACGCGGTCCGCGCGCTCGCGGTGCTTCGCTTCCAGACCTATCACCTGCGGAACCAACCACCACACTACACTGCAATACCATTCCAATACAAAAGCAGATGGTTGCGTTGTGGTTCTCCGTGTGAGGATGAACCCTAGTTTTCCCAAGGTCACCGGAAATTATTCGAAAACATTTCATCGAATTATAATTCATCAAACACATTTTATCGAAAAATGTTTCGCCGAACGACAATTTTTCGAACGGCAATTCGTCGAATGACAATTGTTTCAAAACAATACGTCGAATGACAATTCGTCGAAAACGATTCGCCGAAAAAAACAGTTGATCGAAGAAGCATCGAAGCATCGAATAAGTCATGCACCAGAGCTTTTGCCCATCTAATATATTCACTTTCCAAAAATCATAGTTTGCCAATCAGACGGACGACTGTATACTCACGAGTAGGTCTATCTTGGGCACGAGCAGCTTGAACAGCATCAGCGACTGCTGCGTCACCTCGGCCGCCTCCGTCACCTGCCACGACATCACCGTCCTGACACACACACACACATACTGTTACAATCATATAAAAGTAATATCTACGATGTCGTCAACGACAAACTTAAAAAAATATGGGTGCACGCACGACGTGTCGTGCCAGTCAGTCGTGTTTGAAGAGAAAAAGTGTTTAGCTTTAAAACATTAAAGTAATAAAGCGAAGTTGTAATGTAATGTTTTCGTGAGTATCTAAGTACCTACCTAATTCACGCGTCGTGTTTCTTGTATTTTGAACAATACATATAATATGGACGTACAATAATACGCAAAATTTTCGCTTCTTTACCCATGTGTAACTTAGAGGCAATCATCGTTTCGATGCTAATTTGTTGACTGCGCGAATCGGAATACTATATAGGTTACCGATGACCTCAGGTCGAATGAGTCGTGCTTCCGTCAAGAGATGGCGCTGGTTACAAAATACAGCTGCGTGATTAGTGCTCGATATTATTTTGTAATTATTTTAAATCATATTATAATGTATTGCTCACGGAATAGAAAATACTGTGGAAGTGCCGCTCAGACATCGCGCGCTAACCAACATGATGAGTAGATATACAACATTTCGGCATTCTTGTTGTCAGAATCGTTCGATCCGTTGTCATGATTGGTTGTCATGGTTGTCTCTAAGAAACACGAAATATATTAGAAATTATGCCTTGTTGTACGGTTTTCAACTGCTAAAAAGTAAGCAGAAAAAAAGATGAGTCTTGTGGTGGTGTATCGTATCATCTTTGAGTATTAACCTTTGTTAATTTTAAATATATATTATTTTAATGTAAATATCACATTTCATTACTTCAATGCAAACTATAAAGGGCCTTATTTTCATTACAATTAAGTTTAAATCTACTTGTTCGTTATGTGACGTTATATACAATACATTCTAGTAATTTCGACGCTACTCATTTAGGGATACGACATATTCTTAAAATAGGTTCATATCGATAATTTTTCATCAACATCGTTCAGAAAATTGATTTTTGTCAATTTTTGTGTATAATTCATAAATGTTTAACTAAGATTGCATAGACACATCAACGTTTTAACCACACACAGCGTGCATCCGTCTGTGGCAGGTGCGGGTGGTTAATCACCATTTTTATTTTATAACTAGTTTTCGCCAGCTGCTGTGTTGATAAAAAGCAGCAAATAGCAATAGAACAAAATCTAAGTATACATAAAATTTGGTATTTATCGTGTCATTTTTATGGGTACATCTCCAATGGGTAAATACCCTATTACTTACTAAGTCTCCGCAGTCCGTCCGTCCATAGATAGAATGGTACGGATCTAACTAATAGGTAAGAGTTACAAATATTTGATAAAACCTATATTATATTATATTTTATACCGCATCGTGTCGAGCACGGCAACCGCTACACAAAAATAATTCTTATACCATGATTCAGTGTTCACTTGCGACGGCGCTATGTCTTATTATCCGAATTGCTAAGCTATCAGGAGTTACACGTGCTAATGTGAGTTAACCATAAAAGATAGTCATATGCTGTAAAACATTTTTTTTAGACAATTTTATTTAAAATATTTCCGTCATACATAATTTCTATGTACGTTTAACCATTAAGGTTACACACGCGACTGAAACTTACAAAAGGGAGTAACTTCTCCCGTTTTCCCAACATTTTCCTTCACTGCTCTGCTCCTATTATTTGTAGCGTGATGAAAAGTATCCTATAACCTGCCCAGGAGTATAAAGAATAACAAGTTTTGTTAAAATCCGTCGAGTAGTTTTTGTTTCTATAAAGAACATACAGACAGAGACAAAATTTTTACTGATTGCATTTTTGGCATCAGTATCGATCACTAATCACCCCCTGGTAGTTATTTTGAAAATATATTTAATGTACAGAATTGACCCCTCTACAGATTTATTATAAGTATAGATATTGTACATGATTTTTATCAGAGTTCCAAAAAGGAGAGTGACTCTCAATTCGACTGTAAATTTTTTTTCTGTTTTTTCGTCTCCGTTATTTATGAACCGATTTTAATGATTCTATTTTAGTTGGAAAGGAGATAAAACTTGTAGGAGCGCGTAGTGCTTTTTTAAGTTAAAATCGAAATCTTTGATAATAACTTGACCATCTCCAAAAAACATTAAATCTTCAAAAAATATGTCAATATTTTTCTTTTTTTTTATTAGAACCTTTTTCATTACTGATCATTTGTAGGTATATCGTGTCGATAAATTATATTGCTCACATGAAAACAAAAACATCGATATATTGGGATACCCTGCCCTATCTGAGTAGCAAAATAGTAAATGTCTATTGGTACAAGTCATCGATCACTAATAAAGTAGTGATCGATGGTACAAGTGCATACAAATACCTATGACATCTATTTCAAAGAAGTTAGCGTTTTGAATAGAATGAATTTGTTACAGCGCCATCTAGCGTTGAGTGGCTGAACTCGTTTGTAAATTGTTTTATTTAAGTTTTTTACACGATAGACGCCTTTATTGATTGTGACATGTGAAATGATAACAACTTTCGCTCATTGCTATAAGACTCAATTTTTAACAACATTTAGATGATTTGCTAAAGTTGCGTTTCATCTTTTTACCCAATTACATAGCTGTTTTTTATGTGTGTAATGGACAATTTGATTTGCGAATGTGTGATTTTGGCGACACTGGTTTTCCTTTTGAAAGAGTGTAGGGGCACTTCTACTTAATTTTCTGTTCTGTGGTATTGCTTGTACTCCGGCTGTTTCATTCCGCTCAAAATCTAGCGCTTCACTACTGGCACATACTACCTGCTATTGAAACTGAACTCATTACAAAGTAGATACAATTGTCAGGAACGAACCCCACTAGCACTACCATACTAATATCATAAATTTGAAAGTTTGTGAGAATGTATGGATGTAGGTATGTTTCATTATTCACAAGTACGAGTTATTTTCTCATTTCAACGATAGAAATGTTGCCGCTTTCTGATTGGTTGATTCACAGGCAGCAAGCCAATCAGAGCGCTGAAGGTCATAAACTTTTTGATCGTACTAACGTAAAACAAATTCGCTGTAGGCGCTTTGATCGTGAGAGATCAGTGTCGCCCATGTACAGACAAAACATCAAAACTGCATTGCTGAGCCTTACCATGAATCATTTTTTATTCATATTTTCAGAACATACACGACACATAAAATAAAGTATCGGTAATTAACTGCCTAACATACTTTATGTTTACGTAAAGCGACACACACATACTAACCTGGGGAATATGGCCATGGGCCCCAACACTGTAAGCCCGTTGTTCAGCTTGAACCCATACTGCGGACAAAACAACAATATATTTTATAATGTAACAATAACAAGCATAAAACTGATTGCAAAGCTTGTTGCATAGATAGATTGATCTAAGTGATTATTTTGGAAGCCAGAATAGATGACTTCTATGCCATTATGTATACACAAGCGATGTGCATGTGCACGGTTGGCGCGGTGGCGGGGCGACTGGCTGGCGCATGGAACTACTCTTTGTGTGATCCACAGATTGTTGTTCCGGGTCTGGGTGTGATGTGTATGTGAAATTGTATGTTTGTAAACGCACCCACGACACAGGAGAAAATCCTAGTGTGGGACAACATCCGGCAATTGAGGGACAGTTCTAACAGTATACTAGCTATACTGGCAAAATTAATTACACTATTATTTCGACTTTTACTTATTTTACTCTTTATGTAAGTGTGGAAAAGACATACTTTAATTCTAACGGTCACAGTCAAAAGAAGTACTAGAAGTAAGCCGATAAACTTTTTTGCATTGCATTATAGTCACAACGAATACAGTAGAAAGCTCTTGGACTAGCAAAACTGACAATGGATTAGATCAAATCATATTGTGGGCTTAGATCAATTTCTGAAAGTAGAGAGAAATAGATTGATAATATATAACACTAGCTACTCTCATGCGGTTACACCCGCTGCTCAGTTCCTACAGACCATAGCGTGATGTTTTATAGCCTAATAGCCTTCCTCGATAAATGGACTATCCAACACAAAAAGAATTGTTCAACTTAAACCAGTAATTTCTAAGATTAGCATGTTCATACAAACAAACTCTACAGCTTTATTATATTAGTATAGATTATACGGTGGCATAATGTATCCAATCACCGTGGCGTATGTGTCAATCATAAGTCCCGCATCCTCCTCCTGGTTGATAACTCGCACTGTGGTCTTCCCGTCCCCCTCATACGCTGCTTTACTGCGCACTGCACTGCAATACATAAATAAAAAAGTCAGTATATTGTACACTGCATCCTAATTATCCTGGATTATTTATATTTTATTTCATACCAACTTTGCCTGCAGCTTCAAATGCATATAAAAGTAATGTATCCCAGGAATTTTAGAGCAGCAGCGTTCAACTTAAATAAAATATGCAGATCAAGTTTAATTTATAGACTATTTATAGCACTCGAAAACATTGAAGCTATCTATCAGTAAAAGAACTTTCTGAAGATTACCCCCTACATACAAACTAACAAATACCTTTCTATAGTATTCGTATAAATATTAACTACTTGATATCCTTCATTAGAATTCGTTACAATATAACAAGCGTGAACATTTGAATATTATGTGTATTGTTATATGTTTTGACAGTTGTTGCACAATTTTTTTCCTGGTATACTCACAGTAAATATTACGGAATCAAACGGAGAAGGTACACAGATTTATAGGAACCGCGTTAAGAAAATTGTATGAATTTACATACAAGAATACGAAATAGAATTGTGTTTATATGAAAACTAACCTCACTACAGGACTTGCATGTTTCAGTAACTTCGCTCGAGCTATCGTACTCGCCAACATTGTAATATTGTGGCTCGACTGATTATACTTTAACTTCCATTAATTCCTGTCTTCTAATAACTTAATATTACAGTAAATATTCCGCCGACAAACAGTATGAATATCAGCTGTTGTTTTTATTCTGCGTTACATAAATTCGAATGTCATTCTAAAGTACTTTGGATCTCGCTCTCTCTTACACAATATGAGTAATGGTGACAGAGATAGCAATATTTTTGATGCTTTGTTTAGTAAATTAGTAACAAATTGTTTGATATTTCGCGACTGTCATTTTTGACAACGTCAAAATTACGTTTAGTTGACCTGTGCTAAAATCGAAAATACCTAGATACCTACCTAGTTTAGAAACTATCTATTCTATTCGAATTGAGTACTTTTAACTTTTATGGAACTTCAAATTATGACGTCGTAGTATTTTCACGTCAAATAGCTTACTTACTTTTACTCACTTACAATTCATACTTTTAGAACACACCTACGAAAGTTCCTTATCGATTCACAAAAACAACTTGGTATGACGATCTCAAACACGTAACACGTCCATAATATAGTTATAGCGGGTACCTGATGTTCTATCGCCGTATGATAGAAATATATATTATATGTAGCTTACACGATGACACAGTTTTATAAGTCAGTATTAGTCACCCTCAATAGTCCATATTGAAACACTACACACACAGAACCTAAAACACTAATCTCAAAAACACAAAACACTGAGCACTGATTACACCTTTAATGTTCATTGTTCGGCCTGCTCGACGTCCGTGCGTCATTGCAGGGATCCAGCAGAATACCAGCGTCAGGTATATACCTGACACATGCTGAGCTGGACTCCCATTCGGTGCAAACTAAAGACACACTCAACCGCGATGTATTTTATTATTATTTTTCTCCTTTTTTCTCGTTCTTTATGTTCTTTCTTTCGTACTTACGTTTAAAACGTAATATTAATATATATATATTTTTTGTTTGATATTATTTTGTATCATTTTCTTGTTAATTTGTATTGTGTACCCACTTATTTGTCAATTAATTTGTGTCTGTTATTGTTTGTGCTGAATAAATGTGTTATCTATCTGTCTATCTACCTATCTCTACTTCTTAATAATTAGCAAGAAATATAAAAAAAAATTATCACTATATATAGGAATTTTGTTCATGAAAGAAATACATACTTACTTATTTATTAAATACAAGACGGTACTGGCTTATGTAGGTAATGAAATGTATTTTTTTAAATAACGTTGCCCCACACTAATATTTTCTCCTATGTCGTGGGTACGTTTACCAACATACAATTTCAAATACACATCACATCCAGACCCGCAATAACAATTTGTGGATCACACAAAGTTTTTCCGTGAGGGAATCCAACCCAGGCAGTTGTGCTGTGCGGTCAAATTAATTTGAATAATCTGTTAAAAAAATATGTTTACCAATATCTGGGTTAGGCGATAATTCAGGATCTGATGATGGAAGGCCAGAGAAATCGAGGGGAACTTTAAAAAATTGTAGGAGTGACAAGAATTTTTTCTATATTTTAGTAGGCATTTCACAACACTACAGCTTGCCGAAGGTCGAAGTCGACCTGAAGTTGAAGCTGGAAGACAGTCGAGGAATCTCCTTGACTATTAGGAGTAATTGCCTTGTGTTTGGGCTTGAATAATTGTATTGGTGAGCACTTTGCACCAAGACTGGTCGTGACTCCTGAACGGTTAAGAGTAACTACCTCGTATTTTGACTTAATTCATTTATAAGTACCTATATTAAAACATTTATATTGATGAAGACTGCGCCTATATGGATTATATATAATGAAGGTCTGCAGTATCCGTGGTGATGGAGACCATTGACAGTTGAGGGAATTCCTCAACGATTTACAGCACTGAAGTTTAACACAGGACTACTATTATCGTGATTTTCAGTCGCAAGTATCTATCTAGCCGTCGTCTTCTCATTCGAGTAGCATTCTTACTTGCTCTACCAATCCCTTAAAATTGAGAAATAAATTATTTCATAACAAAAAACCGACTCAAATATTAGTTAAATAGAAAATAATATTTACAAACTATTTTATAATCTTGAAGTCGGTGCCAAGTAAATGATAATAATGTTTATTTGTTGTAAAAAGGTAGTTGGTAGGTTACAAAAAATATATCTCTAGAAATAAGTACAGTGTAAGTATGACATCAACCTGAACTAGGTGCAAATCTGTGTTTCAGGTAAAAAAAGTGCTGATATGCCTTACCATATTATTAAATTACTGAGAAGGTACCTACATACAATATTAATTGAATATATTAAAGCACACACTAATACCTTGAAACTATTATTGTTTAACTTGGCACGGAATTACTTTTGAAAATTAAAATTGGCCACTAAAGACATCTTGCGACATCGATTGTATTCGATGTATAGGTACTGGGTTGAGAAAATTTCCAGCGCAGAATTGTGGAAACCCTGCGGTGAAACACCGATCGACCAGCAGATCAAAAGTCGCAAGTGAAATTGTATCGGCCATACGCTCTGAAGGGACCCCTATGACGACCTGAGGCAAGCCTTCGATTGCAATCCTCAAGGAAAGCGGAAACGTGGTCGCCCTAAACAATCCTGGTAACGGACGAACATCGCAGAGGTGGCGACTATAGGCTAGACGAGGAGCGAAATAAAGCGCGAAGCTCAAGACTGGACCCTCTGCTCCATCTAGGGGATATAGGACTCTAAGTAGTATTTGTAAAAAGGAAATTCATTATTTGCTTTTTAGTTTAGTTTTTAGTCGGTATGTTTTGTTAAAAATTATGGAAGAACCAATGCGTAAAGAGTATTGGCTCTTTCAACATCGAATATCTGTAGCGGTATTTATAATAAATATTACTCAGGTCGTATAAATTATGCATAGCAGTAACTATCGTTACTACTACTAGTCGGAAGCTGTAATTCATTGTTATAATCATACTAAGCGGGTTTTGGAATCAAAAATAAACGACAAAACATAGTTTTATATACGTTTTATTTACCTAAGAGTCATTACAACAATAATACATAGTATAGTTAAGTATAAAATAATAAATAATGTTATTGTAAACATGAATACTTATTCAATTAGGTGCTGCGTGTGTAAACCACACGAACTTTATTATTATAATACTTTAAATGACCTATAGACTAAATTCGCCGCCCGGCTGCACTTGTATTTGACACAGAGAATGGATGACAGAGGAAACATGAAATTTGATAAGCTGTAGGTCCAGACTTCCAGAGAGCGACGGGGCAGCGTTTCCTTGATTGCCTATCAATGTATAAATAACTAAAGTAATTCGTAGTCAACAGAGATTCCAGATCACAGACGCTAACTTAAAGATATTTGGCTTCGACTCGTACAATCAAATACTAACTTTAAACATTATACTTGTACTCAACTCGATGTTGTGTTCGAGCTAAATAGAGTATCTTAAATGTGAAGCAGTCCTTGCAACGTGAGTGACGACTTGAAGGAAAATGAATGAAATAAGTTCAAAGAGTTAGGATGATGAGTGGTAGTGTTGCAAGTACTGTTACACCGTGTAACGTTCTAGTCAATTACCTGAACCTGTTATACCTCCGTATACTTACAATGTAGCTGTCTGAACACATCACACGCACTATTTACAACTAGCTACATACACTATTATATAAATACTAAATGTTAACATTTGTACATCCAACAAACGGACAGTCATTCAATCAAATTGTTTACTATTTGTAACATTGAGGATATTCTAATATTCCCAAGTCATAGTAAGACGTCTTTTATCTCTTTCCGTCTCCATACAAGTAGACAGAGACAAACATATCTAAATGAGATACACTTAAAATATAATAAGTACAATTACTTATTGTCCTAACCTAACAGTACAGACAGTCATGATCACAGATACGATATTTATGAACTAAGTACAGTAGCACAGACACGTTGCAGCGTACGTTGCATGTTACACGTTGCACGCGAGTCCGAGAGCTGTGTCGGTGTATGGTTACACGTTACATGTAGAATGCTGTCGCGCTTCACGTTGCAGCGTCGCCGGCTTGTTGCTGCAACAGTTGCCAGTACAGACCGCGTCGCTTCACGAGCTCTTCGTGAGTACCGCTCTCTGCTACTACGCCTGATACAGAACGCGGGAACATTATTGTTGGAAGAAAGGATACTTGTATTTTGTAGTCGAAACAAAGTTCCAAGAGTCGCAATAACAGTATCGAGTGTTTACCTTTATCGACGACACAGATGAGGTGAGCGTTCCTCACGGTGGCCAGTCTGTGCGCGATGATGATGGTGGTGCGCTCCGCCGCGGCGGCGTCTAGCGCGGCTTGTACCGTCTGTCGACAAACATGGTCTCAATATGCGCCCTTGGGGAACCCCACATTATGCAAAATTTAGTACTTCTAGTATAGTACAATTTTAGACTTTGTCAGCTACGAAGACTTGACAGAGTGTTTTTACTCGTTTAATTATAGTTATTAAATAGGGTTTGACATAAAAGTTACAGTTATAAAAATATCGAAGGCTTCAGCCAAATCACAAATGTATTAATATTACAAGCACGACTCTTAGTGAGGTATGAGGCTGTACCTTCTCGCTGGAGGCATCGAGTGCCGAGGTAGGTTCATCGAGCAGTAGTATCCGCGGGCGCCGCAGGAGGGCGCGCGCGATGCCGAGGCGCTGCTTCTGTCCGCCCGACAGCGACGCGCCGCTACCGCCGCCCAGTACTGTCTCGTAACCCTGGATAGTGTGAAATTGAAGTCAATGGTGTTCCTAAAGGTAGTGAACTGGGGCCATCGTGAATTTCCAGAGGTTGTAAATAAGGGGTTCCTTAGGGCTGTATACTAGGCTCATCCCTTACCTGCGGCAATCCCATGATAAAGTTGTGCACATTGGCCTGCTTGGCCGCCTCGATGATGTCGTCCATGCTAGCGTCGTGGCTGATGTCTCCGTATGCAATGTTCTCCTTGATGGTCCGGGAGAACAGCGCAGGCTCCTGCTGGACCAGCCCCAGCTGGGAACGCAGCTGGCGGAGTGTTAGGTCGCGCTTTATGTCCTTGTCGTCTATAGTCTGAGGCAAAGAAAAGATGTAATTAAAAACATGTGCCTAATGAAAGTCAATCATCACACAGCAAAGAATGAGTACTGACGATAGTGCCCCCCTCGGGGTCGTAGCTCCTCATGAGTAGATGCAGCAGCGTGGACTTCCCGCAGCCGCTGTGGCCCACCAGCGCAGTGGTGCGGCGCGCCGGCACGCGCAGGCTCAGGCCGCGCAGTACCCGGCTCTGTGCCCGCGTCGGGTAGCTGAACGACACGTCGCTGAACGATACCTCGCCCTCTACGTCCTGGCGGAGACGATACAATCGGTTCGAGTGCGTACAGCAATGTGTGGAGAACATATAGAGCCACAAAGTGTATAGTCACCCAGCGTGTGAGGTCGCGCGCGGTGTGTGCGGTGCGCACGGCGGGCGTGAGTGCGGCCGCGGCCAGGGTGCGCGCGCCGGCCCGCCGCGCGCCCGCGAACGACGGCGCGAACGACAGCGCCGCCGCCAACATCCACGCGCCGTATATCAGCGCCTCCGATACGCTGGCGCACAAAAAATTACATTAGTATTATTATGGCATAGTGAAGTAACCAGAGTAGTCTTTGACCTAGTAAAAATCAAATTTGAAGGTAGTGGCGGAGTGTAATTGGAAGGTAGGGAAATTGGGCCTTGACTAAGAGGATAAAGAGGATATTTTTCGATTAAATAAAACATATAAAGCAGAGCAGGTGCTTACAGTATGGCGTGCTGGTACGGCAGATCCTCACGCGCGATGAGTCGGCCGGCGTACGCCAGCGACACGGCGTAGCCCAGCGTGGGGGCGCACACGCACGCGCCGTACACGGGGCCGCGCACGCTGCGCGCCCCCACCACGGCGCGCGCCCCCACGTTCAGAGCCTCCTCGTACCGAGCCAGCATCGTGCGCTCCACTCCTAGGGGGGGAAGGACATGCATTGTGAGCTGGAGCTATCCAGACTATACAGAGTGTAAAAAGACACTTAACGAAGCCGTTAACTACGCATACTGCAATTCTAACTCAGTAGCTTTACACTAAAATTATCACTAGGAAACGACTTTTATTTTTAGGTATCAAAAAATAATAATGTTATTGTGCGCAATGTAAAGCAAACGGGCTTCGTGTTATTGTGTGCGTAGGTTCACAGCTTAGCATTAAAACGCTGTGATAAGTACGTAGGTCGACGTTTTACTTCGCAACAACAAAACAATTCTGTAAAATAAAAATCCTACTGAGATGCACGATGTTTTTTGTGCGGGTCTGCATTTATTTATTACGTACATTACTGTTCGTAACTTCAAATGCGTAATTTAGAAAAATCGAAAATTCAGGTAATGTTTGTTTGGAAAAAAAGTTTTATAATAATACTTTATTAAGATAAGTTACAACGTCAAATTATTTAATGTATAAAGTATTAATTTCCAGTACCTATTTTTAGCTTCAAATTATAATTTTTGCATGCCTACTGGTAAAATGTGTCTGAACTTACCTGTTTTCACTCTATCACCATGTATTGTACCCATATTTGCAAAATAAATGACTTACTTAGAATTCGATTGCGCAAAAAAAAAATTAAAATTGTATCTTTGGCCTTCAATATCTCGAGAAAACGTGGAGTCCCAGCTATGGTCTTAAAGAAAAAAATGATCCAAATACGTGGCTTACGGCTTCGTTAAGTGTCTTTTTACACCCTGTATACGAGCGTATGTATCAAGGAAACCAAAGAGCAAGAGAATCGATCACATATAATACGCGCTAGCGATACACGGCGGATTCGTCCTAACTGGATGAGCTAAAAAGAAAGTATTAAATTGGAAAAGTATTGACCTCACGCAACACTCGTGTTCATATAGAAGCTGCAGAATTGTAAATGCTCCAGCCCGCTGTGTGATTGTACATGAATTTTATGAAAGGACAAAAACTAAGAATATTTGTGTAAGTACCGAGCGAGTGCAGCGTCCGTACGTGTGTGACGGCCTCGGTGGCGAGCCTGCTGGCGCGCTCCATGGCGGCGCGCGCGCGGGCCTCCACGCGCCGCGTCACCCAGCTCTCCAGGTAGATGCCGCCCATCACCTGAACAGATTCCTATTCTAAAAACTCCACAGCGCACAATTGTTTACTCCCAAACAAAGTTTTTATGGCACAAGCCCTCCACAATCACCCAAAATCGGTGCAAGTTAACATCTACAGTAAATACAACCATGAAAACACTAAAGTCCAGCGATCCTCTAATTAAGCAACTCCCTGATCTAAATAATTTTAATTCTAGTAATTTGGATGAAATGTTTATTATCAAAATCAAAATGATATTATTTGATTAGAAAACAAACTAAATAGTTTCCGCTTCTCTCGGTACACCGAGTTGAAATAAAAATAAATTGCTCTAAAAGTTGTTGCTTATATCTATACTACACAACTACACAAAGAACTATACTCACGCAGGGTACAGACAGCAAACTGACTAGCGTCATCTTCCAAGAGTAGAAGAGCGCCAGGCCGACACCCAGCGTCATCGTACTGATACCTTGCAGCATCGTGCCCAGGCGAGTGCCTGCGAATTTATAAAGGTGTAATAAGTAAGGAAAGGAACGCAAGGTTGATAGAAGCAGAGAGAAAGGGGATAAAAAAGGGAAGAAGAAGAATGAGAATGATGGATCATGCAAGAGAAATAAGAGGGGAATAGGCGAAATGTGTGGGAGAGCTATGCTCCGGCACGAATGGGTCGGCTTGACCGGAGTGTTACCACGACCTCACAGAAAACCGACGTGAAGCAACCATAGCGTTGTGTTTCGCCATGTAAGTGAGGTTAACGGAAACACAATTTACCAATCTTTCTTCTCCCAAATTCGTAAATCCCCAAAACCCTAATCCCCAAAAGGCCGGCAACCCACTCGTCGCTTCTCTGTTGTTGTGAGTGCTCATGGACGGCGCTGATTGCTTACCATCAGGTAATTCGTGCCTATCACAGAAAAAAGTGAAGGAATGTACGGTTGATAGAAAAAAGAGAAAGAAAGGGAATAGACAAGAAAGAGCAATGATGGGAAGTTGGAAAATGTAAAAAAAAATAATGAGAGATAGAAGAGAGGCAGAATGATTAGAGAAATATATAGTTACCAGTGGCGCCCTGCACGGCGGCGCAGTCGGTGGAGAGTCGGGCGCACAGCGCGCCCACTGAGTTCTCCGTGCGGTCGAACCAACCTTGGTCCTGTACGGCGTAAAGGGCGTTATATTAATACACAACTATTAATTTCGTTTCCTGCGACATTTATAGTCACGTATCGAAATGATTCATGTGTACGCCAATAGATGGCGCTATTCACAATAACTAACAGCTTTAAGCAAAGACTTAAGTTGGCAGGTATATTGTTTTTTTTTTTCAAAATGTTTCTTTAAATTTTCATTGCGAAATTTACTGATAGATTAGGCTTAGACGAAGCCGAAGCCGTTTTATGTCCTTTTATATTATGAAACACATTAAGTCGCGATTGATTTTAAAACTAAAATGTCTCAAAACAATTGGTTGCGAAATTCATCACATTTTCGTAGACTAAATAAGCTGAGTAAGGCGAGAGGGACTATCAGACTCTTACTGACTAAGAACCATCTCGTTCTCCTACGCTAAGTGAGGCTTTAGTAGGTCTAACTGCACAACACTTACCTGCACGAGATAATTCTCAAATATCATCTGTCGGAGCCTGTCAGTGAGCCTGGCTCCAGCGAGGTTGAAGAGCCAGGCCTGCAGGAAGGTGACGAGTCCGCAGGCGGCCGCGACGCCGGCGAAGAGCCCCGCGTACAGCCGCGCCTGCGACAGTATGGCCGACCGGTCCGACCATGCGAACATCTGGGGGCAGAGTCATCAGGATTGTTAGGTATACGACGAAATAATGGAAGAATTTGCCTCGATGGGATTTGGTCCGACTCTGTCTAGATAATTATACTAATTGGATGATTATTTACTGGAATTTCTTTAAATTTAATTGACTGATTTGGCAAATTCGTAAACTATTGCATACTTTTGATTAGTGACAATTGACAAAGCCTTTCTATTTAAGTCTTTCTATCCTAATATTTTTGTGGGAACAGTTTATATATTATAGCATGTATAGCTTACCCCATAGAGCTCTGCGAAGAGCAGCGCAAATACAGGCATGGTGGCCCCCACGACAAGGGAGGCCAGCGCCCCTCCCACCAGGTGGGGCCACTCCGGCGCGTTCAGCTTCAGCAGCGCCCAGCTCGACACTGCCGGAGCTGAGCTCTCTCCCTCCTCCGTTGCCTGATCAGGGTCCTCCGTGTCCTCGCTATCCTGTAGTGAAGTATTGTACTGGTTAATGCCTATTGAATATCTATGCTAAGTGAATATCTTAGATAGTCTACAATGGTTTGGAAGCAAAAGCAACGAAAACATGTTCATTTATATAAATAAACATATGTAGGTATAGTATAATGTCCAACGTTGACTTTTAGATTCAATGTGAACAGTCCATGACACATCATTAAATTAATCCGTTGGACCAAGAACAGAACCTTGCGGTACACCATATAACCAATATGCCGTTTTTCAAACGATTATAGGTTTATTTGTTATTATATATCGGTATAAACTAGCGAACAATAGTACTGTAATAAAAACGTATTTTTATCTATCTTGCCCTCTAAGTTCAGAATGGAAATCCTGTCAAAGGCTTCAGGCAGATCTAAGAAATGTTGCAGACATATTTGCGTTGTGTTCTGTCGTATGCAAGACGTTACTGGAAGCTTAAAATATTCTGGAAGCAACGTAGTAGCAGTTCCTCCCCTGGTGTAGCGGGTATAGAGTTTTTTTTTTTTGTGAGGGGAAAATCATCTCTTGCTGTCTAAATCACCCTCGTTTATTCTCCTGCGCTAGACCAAGGCTGCGGTGCCTTATTCCTCTTACCCCGCAACCCCGGCCAGGGTGTAGAGTACAATCAAGTGTATACGTACAATGTGTGTGAGCGCGTCGCTGGTGACCGTGGCGGCGTGAGGGACGTGGGCAGACATTGTACTCAGCCGGATACTGCTGCGGGGGAAGGCGGCCGACGAGTCTGTACACACAGAACATACAGATTACATTACATACTAAACGTACCTGTAAATACTAAATAATTGACACGACCAGGATGATTTATGATAGCCAAAGTATTGAATATCAACAGTTTAGAACAGTTTAAATATTCAATAAATACGAAACAACGTTACAATAATTTTCCGGCGAAAGACAACAATAGCGTTGTTTCGCCGTGTGAGTGAGGTTACTGGAGGCCCAATCCTTCCTCTACCCCAATCCCTAAATCTCGAAATCCCGAATCCCCAAAACTTCAACGACTACTCTGTTGCTGGTCCATGGGTGGAGCTGATTGCTTACCATCAGGTAATCCGTCAGCTCGTTTGCCGACCTATTACATAAATAAAAAAAAACATACAAACTCTTTATAATATTAGTATAGACTACATCATAACTTACCTCTAGTAGACTGTCTGCTGACACTCCTACTGAAGTGGGTGCGGTCGTCAGCGGTAGTGACGTCATCGTCATCGTCATCCTCCACCACCGGCTCAGAGTTCATCACGTTCACACTCCTGGAGGACATCACACAGACATCAATATAAGCTCAGCTATGCAATATCAAAAGCTAATTTGCGAAATCACTTTCTGAATCCGCGGTGAAATCATGTTTATTTAAAGTTTCGTATTCTCAAACGAGTGAAATCTACATTGGCGCCACCATGTGAATAACGAAGTGAAAGGAACTAGAACAAGTGAGTATTTTGACGTTTGTACAGGTGAGATGAGAAGCGAAGTGGTGTGTGACTTTCGAGATGAGATGTAACATTTACAGAATAGCACTGGTGAAGTCAATTCAATCTAGTAGAACATATACGGCACTTCGAACGACACGGAGGTCCAATACTTCGCCTACCCCAATCCCTTCTAAATCCCTAATTACCAGAAGGTCGGCAACGCACTCATAACTCGTTGCGGTTGTCCATGGGCGGCGCTGATTGCTGCATTGCCGGCCTTTTGGGGATTAGAGATTTGGAGATTTAGTTTGTAGATTTGTATCGTAGTTTAGAATATTTAGGTTTATGAGAGAGTGGTGTGGTCGGGTGTAGGCGCAGGTACGTACTTGGTGGTGAGGTCCTCCTGCAGCATCTGCCAGTACATCCCGCGGCGCGCCACCAGCTCCTCGTGGGAGCCCTGCTCGCGGACCGCGCCCTGCTCCACGCATACTATGCGGTGAGATGACAGACCTGGAGTGGGGGGGGGAGTTACATAATCAAATCACTTCCAACCATAGGGACTTCAAATTTGCACAGTTGGCGCACTGACTTCTGTGCCACGTATCGCGAATTCGACTCCCATCGGAAAAACTCTTTGTGTGATCTACAAATTGTTGTTCCGGGTCTGGTGTGATGTGTAAGTGAAATTGTATGTACATGTGTCATTTTGTGCAACACCATGTCAACAGTTAAGTGCATTAATGTATTTTGATAGAGTTGAAAATTAACAAATGACTTCTTGCATCCTGCTTGAGGCTAGTATCAGACTCTTACTGACTAAAAACCCCCTGTTCCTTCTCGTGGAGAGGTCCAGCGCCGCCGTCGCTCGTCCAGGTCCAGCATGCTTACCTTGCAGAGTGTGCGAGACGAGCAGCGTGGTGCGCCCGTTGGCGGCGGCGGCGAGCGCCCGGCAGACAGCTCGCTGCGCCGCCGCGTCCAGCGCCGCCGTCGCTCGTCCAGGTCCAGCATGCTTACCTTGCAGAGTGTGCGAGACGAGCAGCGTGGTGCGCCCGTTGGCGGCGGCGGCGAGCGCCCGGCAGACAGCTCGCTGCGCCGCCGCGTCCAGCGCCGCCGTCGCTCGTCCAGGTCCAGCATGCTTACCTTGCAGAGTGTGCGAGACGAGCAGCGTGGTGCGCCCGTTGGCGGCGGCGGCGAGCGCCCGGCAGACAGCTCGCTGCGCCGCCGCGTCCAGCGCCGCCGTCGCTCGTCCAGGTCCAGCATGCTTACCTTGCAGAGTGTGCGAGACGAGCAGCGTGGTGCGCCCGTTGGCGGCGGCGGCGAGCGCCCGGCAGACAGCTCGCTGCGCCGCCGCGTCCAGCGCCGCCGTCGCTCGTCCAGGTCCAGCATGCTTACCTTGCAGAGTGTGCGAGACGAGCAGCGTGGTGCGCCCGTTGGCGGCGGCGGCGAGCGCCCGGCAGACAGCTCGCTGCGCCGCCGCGTCCAGCGCCGCCGTCGCTCGTCCAGGTCCAGCATGCTTACCTTGCAGAGTGTGCGAGACGAGCAGCGTGGTGCGCCCGTTGGCGGCGGCGGCGAGCGCCCGGCAGACAGCTCGCTGCGCCGCCGCGTCCAGCGCCGCCGTCGCTCGTCCAGGTCCAGCATGCTTACCTTGCAGAGTGTGCGAGACGAGCAGCGTGGTGCGCCCGTTGGCGGCGGCGGCGAGCGCCCGGCAGACAGCTCGCTGCGCCGCCGCGTCCAGCGCCGCCGTCGCTCGTCCAGGTCCAGCATGCTTACCTTGCAGAGTGTGCGAGACGAGCAGCGTGGTGCGCCCGTTGGCGGCGGCGGCGAGCGCCCGGCAGACAGCTCGCTGCGCCGCCGCGTCCAGCGCCGCCGTCGGCTCGTCCAGCACCAGGATGGCCGGCTTCCGAAGCACGGCGCGCGCTATCGCGATGCGCTGCTTCTGTCCGCCCGACAGCTGCGACCCGCCCGCGCCCAGCAATGTATCGTAACCCTGCGACATGGAATGTTCATTACCAACGTACAACTATTATCGCAAAAGTTACCTAATACAATAATATAGTGTAACGTTCAATCGATTAATCGACTTATAGTAGTTATGTCACGTCATCAGTTTTGACAGTTGAGTCTGTGTTGTCTATGAGCGAGCGAGCGGGCATTCGAATTTTGGCGCCAAGCGTTTGTGTTCCACCAATTGTCGTCTTTTGTTGAAGATTTCCCTGAGCTGTGTTTCAGCTCAGAAGTGGGATTACAGCAAAATATACCAACTACTACTATATGCCAAAGTTCCAGATGGATGAGGGCGAATATGATGAGGTCAGGCGACGACAGCCAGAAACTCCAGTAAGACGATCGGTACAACTGGAGGGGCGGAGTACGAGAGCTCGTGAGGATGAGCGTCGCAGTCGAAGCCGAACGAGACACGAAGGCCGGCGAGGCAGTAGGTACCCATCCTTTGCGGAGCAGGAGTCGGAGCACACGTGGAGCAGGGGGTGGACGGCTCGGGCGTAGTCGTTCCCGCCGCCGTGAATCTTATGACGATGACGATTTACGGCAGAAGCTAGGGGCTCTTGGAGGACCAGTTGCTGAAGCGCAATGAACAACGAAGGCGCGACGAAGCGACGTTCAATTACCGGCGGTCAACTAGTCAAGCGCGGGAAATACACCCCCCCCCCTCGGAGTGATGCCAGGAGCCCCGAACACAAGAAACCGACGTACTCTGATCAAGTAAATTTCTTTGAAGAGTTCACTAAGTTTTTTAAGGGCAAATCAAATCAAAATCATTTATTCCAACTAAACCATTAATAGGTACTTTTGAAACGTCAAAATAGAATAGTAGTCTGTCAGTCTGTTTGTCAGTGAAGCTAGGTGCTCGTTCCAAAGTGTAGATTCAAATGGAGAAGAACGAGCAAGAAACTCCATTCGTTACTCTTTTAAAAAAAATATTTGTTTTACAATTCACCAATAATACATTTTTTATACATTACTGTACCCCTATGTGAGAACAATGCAGAGACAAGTTGTTAATAAAAAGGAACAAATGATGGTCTATCTAATCTATCATTAAAATTTTAATCCTTTGTTGTCTCGTACATGGCGCTCACATATGCGTACTCACAATCCAAAAGAATGCTTCTATATAAACTCATTCAAGGTTTCATTAATTTTGAGAATTTTAATAACTACTGACTACATATTTGAGAATTGTCCAGCGGAGCCGAACCAACATGCTGCCAGGCATTCTTATCCTCAATATAATCTGAAAGTTTGTAGTATGCCTGTCTACATAATTCGCGTTTAATATAAGTTTTAAATTTTCGTTCATTAAGATTTAATACACTTCTTGGAATTTTATTGTAACAATTTACACAGAACCCCATAAAGGATTTCTGTACTTTGGACAGACGGAATCGTGGCACAGCCAGCCTATCTTTGCCTCTAGTATTAAAATTGTGTCTATCGCTTCTTTTTTCAAATAATTGCAAATTTTTCCTTACGTACATAATATTTTCATATATAAACTGACAAGGTACCGTTAGGATATTTATCGTTTTAAATAGTTCTCTCAGAGATTGACGAGGGGACAAGTTATATATCGCTCGGATAGCCCGCTTTTGCAAAATAAATATTGAATCTACTTCCGCAGCTCGACCCCATAGCAAAATTCCGTACGACATAATGCTGTGAAAATAGCTAAAATAAACAAGCCTTGCTGTGTTCACGTCTGTGAGCTGTCTAATCTGTCTAACTGCAAAAACAGCTGAGCTCAGTCTTCCCGAAAACGTCTTTATGTGGGAACCCCATTTAGAAGTTTATTGTCTAGCGTAATACCTAGGAACATAGTCTCGTTAACAAATTCTAACTTTTGCCCATTTAAAATTATGTCACAATCATTATCGTGTACGTTGGGCAAGCTAAATTTAATACATTTTGTTTTTTTCTCGTTAAGTGCTAAATTATTGACTGTAAACCAATTATGAACTCGATGAATGGATCTGTTTACTTCGTCCAAATTATTAACACGTCGACCTATTCTAAAAATTAATGATGTATCATATGCAAACAACACCATTCTTGGCTCGGTTTTAAATAGAAATGGCAAGTCATTAACATACACTAAGAAGAGAAACGGACCCAAAATTGAACCTTGCGGTACGCCAATTTTTATCTCAGAGCCCCGTGTGTTAGAACCACCTACATGAACTCTCAGCTGCCTATTCTCTAAATATGACTTGAGTAGACGGAGTGCAGTATGTCTAATCCCGTAATGATCTAATTTCAGCAAGAGTGTTTCATGATCAACGCAATCGAACGCCTTTGAGAGGTCGCAAAAGACACCAACAGCATCCTGTGCTTCCTCCCAAGCACCGAATACCTCCTTTATCAAAGTGACACCGGCGTCAGTTGTACAACGACCTTTAGTGAAACCGTATTGTTGGTGATGGAAGATGGCATGTTTATCAAAGTGATGAAGCATCCGAGATAGCATTAACTTTTCGAACACTTTGCTAAGAACCGGCAGAACAGACACAGGCCTATAGTTGTTTGGTTCCTTAGTGTCACCATTTTTGAATAATGGAATAACTTTACTGTATTTCATTAGGTTCGGGAAGACACCGTCATTTATACTTTTATTGAAAATCAAAGCCAGATACGGCGCTAAAGTTCGGATAAGTGATCCGCATACTTTCACCGACAGTCCCCAAAGGTCCTCAGTTGATTTAATCTTGATTTCTTTAAAAACCTTTACTAATCTCTAAAGGATTAGTAGAATGAAAACTAAAATCGTCTTTGCATGATTTGACATTTTCTCTAAGTAAAGTTACCGATAGTCTAGCTGATGATTCTAAATGAGCAGTTGTTGAGACAGGTATATTAGCAAAAAATGCCTCAAACTCCTGAGCTACATCTTTGCTTGACGAAATCTGTCCCCTTTCAGTGTTTAAACAAAATTCCGAATTTTTTAATCGTTTCCTACCTGTCTCATTCTGTATTATTTTCCACGTAGCCTTTATCTTGTCATCAGCTGATTTTATTTTATTACTGATGAAAAGTCGCTTTGCGGCTTTGCATACTATTCTAAATGTTTTTGAGTACAATTTTACATGTTGATGAAAAAGGGGGTCGCAATTGTATGGTTTCATGCCATAAAGTTCAAAAAGTTTATCTCTACTCTTACGAATACCTGCGGTAGCCCAATCGCTAAACTGAAACTTAGCAGAGACGTCTTTATATTTCATTGGCAAAATATCTTGAAATTCCCTATTTAACACCGTAAAAAATTTTTCGTATAACCTGCTTGGATTACTTACATCAAAATTATCTATACTTAATTTAGATGCTAATGAATAATTAAGTTTCTCTAAATTTTTATTTGTTATATGTCTAAACTTTATTTGAATTTTTTGAAGAGGCAAATAAGAGCTGTAAGTAACCACAAGACCACTGTGGTCAGAAGGTAAACTGTTTATAATTTTTTTTCTAAATAGTTGCAGTTACTAAAAATGTTATCAATACATGTGGCTGTGGAGGGTGTTATCCTAGTCGGTTCCAGAAAAACATTTTTTAAATTAAATGATTCAAACAAATTTAATAGCTCCATGCCACTTGTATTGTTCTCCAATAAATTAATATTAAAATCGCCACATACAAGTACTGATTTATGGCTAGAACATACTTTCCTCAAAACATCTACCATTACAGAATCAAACAATGCAAGATTCTGATAATTAGGTGGTCTATATACACAAACAACAACATGTCTATCCAGCTCAACACAGGACAACTCAATAGTGTGTTCAACTGACAGTGCTACAATATCTTTCCTTTCTTTGGACTTAATGCCATTTTTAACTAAAATTAAGGACCCGCCGTGTAACATATTCTTTCTACTAAAATTACTTATTACAGTATAATTTTCAAAACTGAAAGATATTAATTGGTTCTCTTTCAACCAATGTTCTGCTAAACAAACTATATCAAATTGTGTTTTCTCAAGAAACATTTCTATTTCAAATATTTTAGAGGAGCAGCCCTGAATATTAATATAAAATAAGATTAGATTGTGCTGCCCCTAAGCCTGTGTAACAACATTTGATATAAGTTTTTTTTTGCCAGAATATACCTTACTACTAACATTATATATGGTGGTATGTTCTGTTGTCTTAAAATCTAGTTTAAATCTATCACTATGTTGTTAGGTAGCCTAGACAGCACAGATTCGTCCCTAAAACTAATATCTGTTATATTTTTTATAACAGAGTTAATATTGAATGCTATTAGCATAGCAAGTGTACTTCGATATGTTTTTGAGAGGGATATGCCTCTCTCTCATGAATCGCAAAATGTGTTGGTAAGCGCATAACTCAACAACGCCAGGACCAATTTTGCTAATTCTTTTTTGTTGTGTTTGTTATTACCAGGAGAAGGTGGTTCTTATCAAAGAAAATATAAGAAAAGTAGAGGGGAAGATCAGGAAAAAGTGATTCTTTGATAGCGAGATAGTTGGAAGGGCGGGCCGCTAGTATTTATAAAAATCCGAAGTGAAGGAACAGTTACATACATTGAGTTTCGCCGCATGACTGAGGTTACCAGAGGAACAACCAAAGTCAAAGACAAAGTAAAAAAAAAATGTAGCTACAACTACTTACGTTAGCAAGTTTGGTGATGAACTGGTGCGCATTCGCGGTCTTAGCAGCCTCGATGACGTCATCATCGGTGACGTCATCCATGCCGAGCGTAATATTCTCCCGGATGGTGCCGGAGAACAACACCGGCTCCTGGCCCACCACACCTGCACCGATACACATACAGACAATATTAGTATTAGTACTTTTACACTTATAATGGTCATATCTTCCCCATGACTAACTAAATTGTTATTACTAGTAATGAGTCTAAATAAAACGAAATGACATAAAAGAGTCAGTCAGTTCTGAGAGCTATGCTTCGACACGAATGTGTCGGCTCGACCGGAGTTATACCACGGCCTCACAGAAAACC